GATCCTTGCCCCTCTCCCCCTCCCCTTCCCCGGGGGCGGCGGCAGCGCTGCGGTCCGGCGGTCGGATGACCCAGGCAGGATCTCCGCCTCTGCTCTAAGCTGAACCTCGTTGCCAAAAGCTTCCCCTGTCTGAGGGGGGAGCTGGAAAACATAACCTGAGCATAGCTAGTATACTGCTCTCTGGAGGCGATGGCTCTCTGTAGCGTGTTGGCACCACGATACCCTGCGTTTACAGCATCCTCCTGGTGTTCTCTCCTGCGCTGGAAACGGGAGAAGGGCAGCTGGCTTGCCCCAGCGCAACAAGTATGCGGCAGCTTTTGAAACAAACCCAAACGGCGCCTCTTTGGAGGAAAAACTATCCCCTGCCCCAGTCTTTGGGCGTGTGAAAAGAGAGGGCTTCTAGCAGCTTTTACCAGCCAGCAGGCCAAGCCCGCTGTTGGGGCGCGAGTGGTTTCGTGCTGAGCCTTCCTGGCTTGTCTAGCTGGAGCCTGTGCTTTGTTTCAGTAGACGATGAGATTTAATGACGTTAAAATATCATTGTAGCCAATACGACTTAACACAAAACTAACACAGCCTGTCGCTGTTTGCACCGGTGAGGCGTGTAGTTGTGCTGTGGGCAGGGCGGGAGGGCAGCGCTTCAGATACCCTTTGTCAGTTCAGTGCTTTTCTCGTTGTTATTACCGCTACAACTGTGCTGTCACTGCCAACAGCGGGAGCTTTTCATAAAAAGTGTAAACAAGTTATCAGAAATAGGAAGTGGACCAGGGCCAGCCTGCGCTTCCAGGTAGATCTGCGGCTGATAGAGATGGCAGTGAGGTGGTGGGTGATCAGCTTCCGCCCTGCCAAGGAAAGACACCTCTTGATAAGGTATTTAAAATCAAAACTTTGGGCCTTCCCAAATTCCAGAGATCGCTGCTCATCAGCCTGGGCCAGCAGGATACGTACCCTCATGTTTCGAGTGGGGACGATCTCCAAAGTCAGAATTAGCGGCTGTAAGTCCTGAGCGGTGTTTCTGAGGTACTTCTATAACCATAAAGGGAGGCAGGAGAACAGGTCTCTGGAAGAGACACAGGAGGCCTGTGCTGTCTTAATGAGCTGAGCTCATCTGTCCATGTGCCCCTTTTTTAATTTAGCAGCAGGAAAACAGGAATACCAACAATTAGAAGTTCCCCCTTTTAACTAATTCTTGCAAATTACCTGTTTCATAGTGCTGTTATGTATCTTGCAAAAGGAGAAAAAAACCAAAAACAAAATATACAGCTCCTACCACACTTTCAATCTTTGGAAAATAAGGTGATGTTTGTTTGCAAGAATTAGAGCACAGTAATCACATACATGTAAATATAACTACCACCACTAAGCAAATATCAAACCTGTGAAGACATGCAGTTGTAGAAGATGAATGGATGATCTTATAATGCCCCATACTTAACACTAACAATAAAGAAGAGACGTATTTGACACAAGATGGACTCCACATATGAAATATTAATTGTAAAAAGTATGCTCAGACCCTGACATGGCTATTCTTTTCCAGGCCTTTACTAACTTTAATACTAGAACAGAAATGGCTGTTAGGTCTTTGTAATTCCCTTCTTCTTTGCTTTCTTACAGGTCGACACCTGGTACCCAAAGAATGCTAAGCTTTTAAGGGCATCACATACAAACCAACAGCAATTTATGTATTCTTAATCAAGTTCTTCAACTTTGAAATAAATCAAAATGACTAAAAGAAACATTATTCTGCTGGATCTTAATAGGTTAACTTCTCCCACCTGCAGCATTTCCACCAAAGCAAGCACCAAGTTTATTTGTACAGCCAAATTCCCAAATATCAGGTCAGCTGGAGGAAGGGAGTGTTTGCTGTGGCTGAGAACTTAACATTATCTTTTTCTGTAAAGATGGGTTTCTTTGAGAATTATTTTGGTAATTAAGTTGAGTGGCTATTTGAGTTTTTCTGTAAATTACCCTTACTATATGCTATTTTATTTAAAAATATGAAAAAAAAAAGATACTAGGAAAAGATGCTGGCTTTAGAAAAATGGGGAAGGAGCCTTTATTTTTTCCGAGGTAAATTTCTTCTGTTACATTCTGAGTGAGTCATCTATCTACCCAAGGGGTATAGTTCACTTTCTGAGCTCTTAAAATAGATTTTTGTAATGGGTTTATTCCCTCCTCAGACACTTTCCTTCAGTAGCTGCCTTAAAAGGTCTTAAATTCTTCTAGTTACTGCCTGATTACCTCATTTCATATCACAAATGTCTTTGGCTGAGAAGGATGTTGAAGCATTAACTTTTTCTTCAGGGAAAAATTTTAGCATGTAGATTCGCACAAGAATGCTGGAAAATGCAAGCTTCTGATCGTATAGCAGTCGTTAACTGTGTTGACTCCTCTAGTTACAAATACCATAGCTGGTATGAAATGTTTGGGGAGGGGTAGGAGGGGCAGCTCTTTTCAATAAAGTTTTAGCATTCAGAACAGTGATAGTATAAAAAGAGGGGGAAGAAATTGGATAAGGAAGGGAAGGTTGCCCTGTTATAAAGGTACTAGTTTTACTACAGTGTCAGGAAAGAAAGGGTAAAGGATATTACTAGGCTATGCTTTTGCTTCTGCTCCGTAACTGGTTTGTTTCCTGTATGTGTATGACATATATTTGGAGTTGGCATTATCGCTTATATAATTTTGCATTATGCTTCAACATTGGG